AATCTAATCTAATAATTAGTAAAAAGGAGATTGAAATTTGGTTTTGATAATATGTGAGACGTATGTTTTAATTAGTGAACATCAAATATTTGAGTGTAAAATTAAGTGATAGGAAATGGAATAATTGAGCAAGAATTTAATATATTAATCACTAAATTAATAAAACAATACAAGAATTAACAGCGATTATAAAAAAATTTGAAAATTTATTAAAGCACTTCAAAATGTAACTGTAAAGTGAATTCAAAAGTTTTTGATGCAATAGTATCTTTGTTGATTTATTCAAAAAAAAAACAAATGAAATGTTGTCAATGTTATTAGGTAACTCTAGCAATGCTCGAGAATATACATATTTTGCAAAAAAAAAAGAATACAAATTTTTCTCTAAGATTTACTGGTGCAGAAACTTAAAAGCTTAATTCTAATTTTAGATGTGACCGAAGGAAAAAAAACGGATTTCCAATATTTGCTGTTTACATTACCGCTTTCCGTTAAATTTCATCACATCTTCAAAATGCATTTATATCGATTCGTTTGTTATTGTGTTAAAATTGTTATTTTAAGCAAAGCAAGAAAAAATTTTCACTTTTAAATTGAAGAATTAAAGGGTTCGACATTTTTTGCAAAATATAATTGATCTCAATCTACAAAAAAATGGCCATCTCATTCATTTTAGTTTGCTTTAATTGCGTCATTTAACGAATATATCGTAAAAATATGCAATCTTAGAATAATTAATTTCAAAAATTTGAAAACATATCAAACAATAAAAAAATTACTACTAATAATTTCTTATTTAAGTTTCTTATTTCGTTTTTATATTTTTTTGCACGATTTTCAGAAATTTTGTTTTTTCCTTCTAAAATTAATTATTTCATACTTTTTTGCACTATAAACATCTTTAAAAACTATAAATATCCAATCAAAAAAATCTCTGTATGGAAAAATATAAAATATATTGAATTTTACAAGTTTATAGCTTCATTTTTTTTTAAAGTGAAAAATGACAACTTTTTGGAAAACTTATACAACTTGTTCCTTTGTTTTTTTTCGCGTGCTTTTTTTAAATTTGTTAACAGATGTTTGACAATAATGAATCTTCGGACAATAAACAGGTCGAAAAAATATACTATGCAAATGATAACATTGTAAAATAAGATATAATCAGTGATAAAAGTCAATTATCAGTAGTAATTAATGGTAATTTATTTCAAGAAATAGTAATAAATATAACATATATTTGACTAGAATAAAACTTTCCAATAAATTTCTTCAATTTCTTTGATTTTTTCATCATTATTTTAATTTTTGATAATTATGCATCAGGTATTCATATCTTCTTTAAGCTAAAAATTTTTTAAATATTGCAACGATAAATTTATTATTTCGAAGGATTATAAGAAGTTACCTGATAATTATGGTAAAAGTTGTGCAATGATGGATTACATTTTGAATGATAATCACTTGTTATAGAAATTTACGAGATAATTGAAATGAAATTTTCTGCTTTTTTATCAGTTCATCCTTACATCATAATGATAGCTGTGCCGATATTTTTTTTTTTTGATGAAAATTAGAAGTTCTCTATGTTTTTTGATTAAATTTTTCTGTTTCTGTTTTGATCATATTGAAAAGTTGAAAGTTTTTAACCTGAGCTATAAGAAATTATTACCATTCAAATTTTCATCATTCAATTGTCTCCTGTCAATTTTTAAATTTTTTATTAATATTTGAATCACATATGAAATAAATATTTAAGTGAAAAAAAAATTTATGAGTAAGAAAATATAATAGCTAATAAGGATATTTACAGTAGCATCGATTAATGTATTCCTGATTGCTACCATAAGCAATAAGAAAAATTCGTTTAACCTCACTAACATTCAAATGATTTAATTCTGTAAATTTATTTACAATAACAAATGTGATATCTAAAACCTTTTCAAATTGAAAAAAAAAAATGTTATAATATAGGATGGTGATGAAATGATCGAAATACTTGGAGAAAACGGTGAACGAATACGTAACGATGAAACAGCTCTTCTTGGATTTATTGAATATGCTTCGGATGAATATAAGAGGTTAATACTTAATTACAATTCATATAAATTAAAAGTATTTAAAATGTTTATAATTTTTCAGATTACATTTTTTTGAAACGAATGATTTAATTTAATGCTACAAAGAAATTATTTAAATAATTTGATTTATTTAGTTTTATATAAATTTAAAGGGAAAAAAATTTTTTCATTAATTTTTGATCATATATAAAATAAATATTTGAGTAAAAAGAAGCCAACAATAAGAAAATATAAAAGTTAATAAGGATATTTACGGTAGCACCGGTATTTTTGATTGTTACTGTGAACAATGAAAAAATTAAAAAACTAAAAATAAAAATTCTAAATTTTTTAATTGGGATCTTGTGAAATTTACATCTTTATATATATTTTAAAGATTTCAAACTAAAATTTAATCATTCATTTCCGATTATATGCGTTAAATAACAATGCTTTTTGTTATTAACATTACTAAAAATGACGATAAATAAATTTTTTTAAAAATTCATTTCATATGGATAAGATATTTTGCACTTTCATCTCCAATTTTTAATGGAAAATAAAAAAGAAACCGAAATTTTGATTTAATATTAAAAGAAATATGTTTACATCAGCTGATTTTTCTTCATTATACACATTGTAATGGTGCAAGTGAGAAAAGAGCAAAATTAATTTTTCAACAATATTAATTTTTCTTTCTTCCTTTTTTTGCTTCAATTAAAAATTTTATTGATTTGAAAACTGAAAAGATTAGGAACATTGGGAGAGAAAAAAGTTAGAAGAAAAATAATTCAAAATCATCTCTTCAAGTGTGCATATTTCCTTCTTTTGCTCTTTGCTCATTCTGATAAATGATAAACAAATGATTCATTTTGTGAATTACAGAAAGTTTTATACTTTAGATAACTCATTCTAGGAATTGATAAGAATTCATTCACATCTTGTTCATTTTCAATAAAAATTTAATTTTTTCTAACATTTCTGTATAAGAACAGTAGAGGGTTTATAGCATAATTGTAACTTCAAATATTTTGGCTCAGTGCGTTTAATAAATAAATTATCCATTTTCGATTTAATAAAATTCTATGGGTTCGTTTTTTCCATATTTTAATAATTGATAATAGTACATTGTTTACAAAGTATTTAAAATTTTAAGGTATTTGCATCAATTTTTTTCTTTTTTTACTCTAATGGATATTTAAAGAAAAAATTTATTATAAGCAGAGGAAAAAAATTATATTTATTATTTTCATTTGCCTTTCCTTAATTCTATTATTTTTTCTTGCTTTATAATAACACAAAAAGAGGAAAAATATCGTAATTTAATGAAAAAAAAATGAAAAATAATTGATATAATGATTTTTCCTTCAATTCTAATATGTTCTCCACTTATCGGTTCTTCAGCATTATAGTTTTCAAATGCGAAAAAGAGAAAATTAAATGAAAATTGAAAAACTTTCAGATCTACTGCATAAATGCATCAAATTGAAGTGCAAAATAAAATTACAATATTTAAAAAATCAACACTTTTGAATATAATTTTACATGATAATTAAATTAATTAACTAAATTGAGGGAATACAGTTTGTTATGAAGTTTTTATAACAACGTTTTACCATGATATTTTATTTTTAAAAAATAAAAATTCCATTTTTTTTTCTTTTTTAAAAATTAATAAATCTATCTGTTGTAGAATAGATCCAACAACCTTACTGAATCAAGCAATCGCAGAATGTAACACAATTCGTAACAATCCATATTTTTCGGAAGGAATTTTATTGAAATGTATAGATTCAAAACGTAAGTCATTAAAAAAATCACACTATTTATGAAATACTTATTCTGTTCCTATTCAGCACATTTGCGTCGTTATTGTTTAAAGGATATAATTTTATCACACGATCTATCTCAATTTAGTTTGTATAGTTTCAAAACGCTAATTGTTAAAATATTTCATTATAACATGTTGTCTATTTATGTAATTCTATTCACATATTTATTGTAAGATATACTGTATCTTAGATACTGTAATGAGTGCACTCACTATATAACATGGTGTATGATAAAATGATCTATGTCCCTTCAATTTATTCTAATTCAAATTATTGAAAGATTTCATTGTAGCATTATATCTATATTTGCATTATACGTTATTCAAAAATTCCGATCATGATATGCGAATAGCACAAATTGATCAAACAATCCATGAACTACATGGTCGACCAAAATCGCAATTTGGTATAATCACTTTTTTTTTTTTAATTCGATTGAAATAATTATTCCAAATTATAACAATTTCGTTTCGTGTGAAAAGATATGATTTGAAACTTCGCTATAAATGGTGTGAAAAATAAATATTTAAAAAGCTTAGAGAGAAATGAAAAAAAAAAAGATTAGATGACAAGGTATTTCTGTTAAATTTGGTAGACTAATTTTTTGCATAGTTTTCTCTTCCATTTCAATTATTCAATTATTTTAAGGAAAAAGAAAAAATCGAATTTGTTTTAAATGAATAAATTTTGAAAATTTCATCAAATTTTTAATCTAATAAGTTATAAATTTTGGGCGCTTATGATGAAATTTATGCAATTCAAAAAACTTCATCAATTGCGAGTTATAAATTACCATCACATCGACATGCCGGCTATATTATTATACTCTTCAAACTTCTTGATGAACAAACTAAGGTATTTGAGTTTTTTCTTCTTTTCAAAATTTAGGAATGAAACAATAAATTCTATTATATAAAATAAAAAAATGAGCTACAGGTCAATTATATATAAATATTTTCTAATTCTAAATACAAATGAAATTACTGCTTCTAATATTATTATCAAAAACAGAAGAACGAGAAATTAATTATGTCACTGTAAAAGTTTCACCTCAAGAGTTTTTTTTTGTTTTAATTTGAATAAGAACAGTTTGCACATGCAAATATGCTATTTTTATGTAATTACCAGTAAATAATATCAAAGCATTGAGATATAATTTTAATTGACCAATAAATGACATTAAAGTATTGAGGTGAATTTCTTTGCAAACAACAAATGAGTTGAGCATATTTTTTATCCATCTCTATCATTCACTGTAAATGTGTTTTGAATCATTAAGTTCGTAATGATTTCTTTTTCTCTATTTTATAATTAAGCTTATAATTGTATATAGAAAATTTAATTTCGATTATAAAATAATTTTTTTAGCACGAAAATCTTGAAAAATCGTGGTTAAATTGGTCAGGTGCAAGAGAAATTTACAAATATTCACCGAGAAGTTGGAATCTGCGACGAATTGTATTACATAAACTGCCAACAGCAAAGTAAAAATTGATTATTTTATTAACTTGTTTAAATTAATTTTAATTTTTATCAAAAAAAGAATTTTTAAAATAAAAAATATTGCACTATAAATTTTTTGTTACTCCTTTTTTCTGAAACAATTCGGACATAGATTTAAACATGTAATAAATTTTTAAAAACTTATTATTAAAGATGGGCCACATTACGAAATTAAAAAATGATATTGATTAAAATTATTGAAACCTTCGTTACAAATATTCACCGAGAAGTTGGAATCTGTTAAGAGTAGAAATTGAAAAAATTGTTAATATTTATGCTGATTAATCTTTAGAAAAAAAACCTTTCGACCATTTGCATATGTTTTATTTTGTGAATTTGGGAACATATTAAATCCATCAAATCGTCTACAAGCATTAGATATGGTAGAACGGTTAAGAGTACGAAATTGTGGTTATATATCACTTTATCAGGTAAATTTATTTAATTCAATCATAATTAAGTATTAAAATTATCATTTTATCCATGTCAGTTAAAGGGTATACTTACTATTTTCTCATCAAAAAAAATCTTGTGAATTACAAACAAAATTTATGATTTTTCGAAATTCAGCTGCACATATTTAACATTTTAATTAGACCTTAAATTGAAATTCCTTCTTTTTTTCGATTTTGATAAGAAAGATCCAAATGAGTTGGTTTTATTGTTTCAGCAGTATCTTGCATTATCAGACCTACCGGTTGACTGATAAACAAATAATGTGAACTAATTTGATAGACGAGCAATACAACACATCGCTGTTATTGTTTTGACAACTTACTTAATTAATTAATTCATCACTTAAATGAAATATTTCAGGTACAATGGTCATATGAACGTCTATCAAATTCCCATGAAGCATCATCAAATTCAAAAGAATTGTTATCAATTCCAGATGGAAGATGGGATCGGAATCCGATGTTACGTGGATTTTCTCAAGAGGTTTATACTTTCGAAATTTAATTCATGAAATTTATATTAAAATTGATAAAATTCGCGAATAATAATAAGCGACGACTACAAATTGATGAAATTTGCAAATAAAAATAAACAACGATTACTTTGAATTATTTTACATTACAATTCATTAGATCAATCAACTAATAAGACAATATATTGGTCTATATTTAAGATCATGTATCGCCTTGTATCTTGAAATTATAGCGTGTGAGTTTTTCATGTAAATTCAATTTCATTATCAATATGAAATATACCGCATGAAAATTTTACTTTTTCTACTGCTTTAGTACAAATTAAAAAGTGAAATTTAAATTTCAATTAATTTCAAGTAGTTTTATGGATGAAATATGCTCTTGTTGTCATCAGTTTGCTTATTGATCGCAGTTTAATGCTAACATCTTTAATTATTATGCTGAGAAACCCGAAATTCTGCGATGTAAAATTATTCAAATGAAGGGAACTTTTGCGACATAAAATTATTCAAATGAACGGAAATTTTGCATATAAAATTATTCAAATGAACGAAAATTTTGCGATGTAAAATTATTTAAATGAACGGAACTTTTGCGACATAAAATTATTCAAATGAACGGAAATTTGCGATATAAAATTTTTGGAATGAACAGAGATTTAGCATAACTAACAATTAGGCCAAAGAAGTTCCTCTCCACGTTCCCCGTCAAATTTAATTTCTC